CCCCCCCCCCCCTCCCACTTCACTAGACCATTAGCCCCCAAATTATGTGAAAACAAGTTACCTTAATTACTGAGTTAAATATCTTCCTCGGGGACGAATTGTCCGGATACCAGCAGCCTTCTCGGGGGGAGGGAGCTACTCAGGAGATGATTTAGAAGAGGTTGGGGCTGGTGGTCGTGTGGATTACCTAAAACACGGAACCCAGATTTAGACCCACAAACCCGCCCGAATATCCCCAGTTGATAGAAAGGAGCCAATTTACTTAAGATCAGGTCGAGTTTTACGTGCAGCTCTCATACATTCTCTCTTGCGTGGTCACACTTTTGCCATGTCCGCCTGAATTCACTCTATTCTAAACGAAAAGGAAGTAATGCCTGGTTTCAGAGTAGAGATGTACACCGCCACCTTTCGTACACTGTCTTAATTTTATTTACGCATAAAAACTTTATACGTACACGCTCGTAAAAACTACGCGACATTGGAAATCAAATCGACCTTTCATGTGAAACAGAGTTCGAAGAGTTGACTGAGGTGATGTGAGCTATCGTTATGACGAACCAGCGCCACAGAGTTAGTAACAAGCCAGGATTCAGAATCCAAACTGAATGGATAGATTCGGTTTAATTGCGCTGGAAATTCCACTGCAGGGTCATTCTTTCCTTTAAAAATGTTTGCCTTTAAGATCTCCTTCCCCATGGAATTTCCTTCGAACCTCCTTGGGGTGGGAATGGATATTTTCTGTATCTGAGTGATTAAAAAGTTTAACCATTTCAAACCAAAACGGTTGTTTTTAAGTTGCAGTTACGTGTATGTTACAGCTCAAAATTAAAATTCAGGTTAAAATTTTTTATTTAACCTAGGATGATGCTCAATTTCCTTTGTCTCCTAGCCCTAATTATTCACGACAGGGGCGGATCTAGAAGGAGGGTGCAGGGGGTGCGCACCCCCCCCCCAACCTGAGATGACCTGCGGTTTTCTAATACAAATGGTATTCTGCAAAAAAAAAAAAAAAAAAACTATGTGGTTTATTGGTGTTGAAGTAGAACAAGAGACGAGTGCACCCCCTCCTAAAAAAATCCTGGATCATCCCCTGCACGAATTCGGGCTAAAAGATAAAGAAAACTGGGATTTAACCTAGGTTAAAAAAATTTAACCTAAAATACCACGTTACCTGCAACATACCCACTAAAGTTTCATACAGGGAGGCTTTGTCCTGAGGTCCAACCCCTTACCCTTTTATATACCATTTTTCACAGAAAAGGTACTCCTTTCGTATACCGTCTATTGACAAATGGTACCCCCTTAACATACCTACATGTAGCATAGAACTTTTCGTCCTTTTTAACTGCTGTAAATGCACTGTTATTAAAATATGAATAAATCACAACACCAGAACACTTTCTTGACTTTTTCACAGCCATAAAATTTTAGCCCTTTTGGACCTTTTTCCAGACTGAAATGGAAGATTTCCCTACCCTTTTATGTGCTTCAACTAGTAAAATCCGTACCTTTTCATATACCTGAAGCCTAAATTTCGGGCGGAGCCTCCCCGTATAGGCTTTTATAGGGAGTATCCGCCCTCTGGGTAATAGGCATACGCTTTTGCTCATTTCAGTTACAATGGAATCTGGATAAATTTTGTCCCTCTAGTGTGGATTATCAGTAGGTTCCAAAAATGACTGGTTAAATAAGATTGCTTTGTTTGACTTTAAAAGAGAAATCAGTTTTTGTGTGAATTATGGCGGAGCTCCACGCGCGGTGCGAAGCGCAGCGAGTGGGCGGAGCCCCATAGCTAAGCAAATGCGGTAATCTGCCCATCCGAAAAAATTTGGTAATCACGTGACCGTACACTGACCGACCGACCGCCGGCCCGACTGTCCGTCCGCATGACAGGAATACCAAATAACTCAATCAACAGGTACCGAAACCCAAATGCAAC